TGGTTTATTGAAGTTTTAGTAAAGGTTTTGAGATAAGGCCAATTGTCATCATTTTATGAGGTCTGTAAATTTAAAGCATGAAGTATGAGCACCATTTAACTAGTTTGTATATTTAATTGTGAAGTTGGAAAAACTGAAAGCTGGGTAAGAATAGAAGTATTAGTAAAAGCTAAGTCTTGTAATTGTTGTAGTCGTAGCTTTAAAAAGGAGAAAAAAATCGAAACTGTAATAGTTTAAATTTTTTTGGAGTACTATTATTAAAGAAGAAAGTTAAGCTTGAGCTAGGTTACTTAAGGCATATATGTCTGGGTTAAATAGAAATAAGTTTGGAACTCCTTGAGCCAGCCTTGCTTTGTGTTTGACTAAACTAATGCAGATCTTGTTAAGTGTATTGATTTGAGTGTTAGAAGAAATATGGAGTGCAATCTATAGAGCAAGCATGAAAGAATAATACTATTTATTATATAAATTGCTTGTTTTTCTGTTATATGGACAAATTATAGCTTTTTTAGATTGATTGTTGCCTTAGCTATAATTTTTTTTTGAACAAGTATTTGTTTTTTGTTAGTAACAAACTATGCTCCTAGGTACTTGAATGGTATTCTATTGATAATTGCTGTTAATTGTTTATTTTCAAAAGTTATACTATTATCTGGGTCTTTTGAGTTTGTTGCTAGAATTAACTTAATAGAATTGACTCTTATATTGGCAAAATTATAAAAGAAAAAAGCTGTATAGAGGATATTGGTAAGAGAGGTTTTGTTAGGTGCAATCTACAGAGAGTCATCTATATATGCTATTACTGAAGTATGAATTTCTTTTAGACAAGTAGATGAGATCTCTCTTATAAATCTCTAGTGTTCTGTATAGATTCTAGATATAAGAGGGTCATAATAGATCTTTTAAAATAGTAGTAAGATTGTTTCTTCCTGACCTACTCTATGTTTAACAGAGTAAGATTAAGTTGGTTCCAAACTAGTAATTACTTTGTTTGTACAATAATGAAGCAAATATGATAGCAGGTTGATTGCTTTGTTGGGTATATGTATTCTTTTGAGAGATTTGTATAGAGTTGATATATGAATTGAGCTAAAGGTTTTTGACATATTCTGGGACAAGATCCAGATCTTTTTTTGGTTTATAGTTACATCTTCTAGGATGTAAGTAAGTTGAGAGATAGATTGAAGTGTTGATTGATAGAGAAAAGCTACAAAGTTATAAAGAGAAAGCACTTGGTTTCAAACTAGAATGTCTGTTAAATGATTTGTTAAAATTTTGTAAAGATTTTTCTAGTGTAGTCTATTAATGTAATAGGATAGATAGTATTTAATTCATAATTATATTGTTGTTTTTTAGAAATTGGCCAAATATTAGTCTGTAACTATTGGTTTGAGACTATTTCTTGTATTATGCAACATTGAAGATATTTAGTAAAACTGAAAGAGCTGAGGATGGCAATTGCTGAAGAACTTCATTTGTGATTCCAGAGGGTTCAGTTGCTTTTCTTTTAGAAGCTAGATTTATTGTTTGTATTAATTCAGTTATTGAAATAGATAAGAGAAAAATATTGTAAATATTCTTTCATATATACTAAAGTGGAGAATAGAATTGCTTCCATTCTTCCTATAATAAATTGTTAGAAGGGTTATTTTTCATCCAGTTTTTGAAATAAGTGTGTACAGCATCTTTGATCTCTTTTTGATTGGTGATTACACTGTCAGGTATTATAACTTTTTTATAGCTAATAAGTTTTGCTTGGCTTTGTAGAATACTATTTAGTATTTGACTAGTATTGTCTTTAAAGTTAGAGTATATATAATTAATATAGAACTTAATGCATTCAGTTTGTTTCTATTTTTTTTCATAATTGCATGCTTGTCAAATTGTATGTTTATGTTGTTTGACTTGATCTATAGTGTTTAACTATGAATAAGCAAATTCCTCTTGAATAATAGGAATGATGCTGATTTTTGCTAAGATAGCTGCTTTTGTTAAGTACTGATTAGTCTAGACTATTGTGTCTATTGCTCTATTTGATAGTTTTTATAAGCATTTGTTGATATTTTTTAGAATTAAATAAAGTTTTGTTGTTTTTAATAACATGGCAAAGAAAGATTGTAGGACTGTAAAGGTATAAGAGATGTATTTATTCATTGTTTCTTTTATTTTTAATGCCCAGTAATTCCATGTTTTATCGATATCATCTTTATCCATATTTGGTAAAAAGGTTTCTTGAAAATTGAATGATATATTTACTGAGTTTACAAATTTGTTCTATGTATCTGCTGTAGTTTTTTCATATTAATATATTTTCCTTTTCTTTTTTTTTGTTTTTAAAAGTTTTTAGCAGATAGAAATTGGTATGCCATGTTGTGTTTAATATATGATGATTGCTGTTTGTAACATAGGTAGCATCAATTATTGTTAGTAGATCAAAAGCTAAAAGTATATTTGAAGAAATCTAAAAACCATCTATTTGACTAGTTAAATTAGGACTATGCCAAGTAGATGTTTGTATGTTATAAAAATTTAGTAAACTAGTTAGGTTAACAGCATTTAGGTCAGTAAAAATTGAAAGTTGTTTGTTTCTGTGCTGATTTGCATTAAAGTTATTCAGAATAATCAAATACCAGTTTTGAGATCTGGTCTCTGCAACTTAGGAATAAATTTGGGATTGTGTTTTCCTTAAAAGTGAAAGATGATTTGAAGAAAAATATATTGAAATAATACAAGACTTGTTGTTATTTGGAAAAAAGAAGTTGATGCAAATTGTAGTACCAGATAGAATATTAATATTATAAATATAGGGCTATAGTTGGTTGCAGACTAATAAAGCTGTTCCTAAACTAGCCTCTTTTTGATTTGGGTCATATGGTGAAAAGTTAGATGTATATATCTTGTAAAAAGGATTAGTATAAAATTTTGCTACTGAGTCTTTTAGTTTAGTTTCCATTATAGAGATTATATGTAGATTTGATTTTATACAATGTTCAATCCAGTTTTGCATTTTAATGTATTGTTGATGTCTCTAATGTTGTATGTAGTTATGTTAATTTTTTTATTTAAATTTAGTTTAATTTTTTTTGTTTTATTCTCATTATCTGCTGAAGGCAGATTGTTTATATAATAGCTTGTGCTCATTAGTAATCCATATTATCATTTTCTTTTCTGTCTAATGTTTGTGTATGTATAGTTGTTATTTGTTTTGGTAAGTTAAAAATTTTAAAAAATAGTTCAGATAAGTCTAAGAGATCAAAAATGTATTTTGGTAAAGAGTAATAGGTAAAGTTTTGTCTAAGAGTTTTCATAACTAATTAAATATTATAATGCTTTTGTACTAGAATGTGTATATTTGTAATTTGTTTTTGTTCAAGGACTAAATAAAGTTGTTCTACTATTGATAGTAGTTTGGGCAAAACTGATTCAGTCTCTAGTTGTCTTTATTTTCTTTTTATTTGAATCCAAGACTAAGGTATGACATGAAAATAATAGTGCTCTTGTAATGCTTTGACTGCTATGCTTAGCTCTTTAGAGGTTAATATTGGTAAAGTTAGGTTGACCAAAATAACTAAATTAGTATCTTTAGACAGATCTGGATGATCTGTATAATTGAAGTTGCAATAAGCTTGTAGCAATGATAATAGGATATTGTAAATTCATGAAACACATTTAATAAAAACATTCACTTTTTTTGTGTTCTGTAAAAAAAATGTAAAATTAGACATTTTTAGATTTATTGGATCTAAAGGTAGTTATCTTTGAGAGATAATATAGTCATTAGATAGTCTGGTAAAGGAATAGTCCATGTGTAGTAATCTAATATGTTTCTTAAAATCATTTTGATTTTCAGATAGAAAAGAAAATCTCTTTTTTAATCTGGGTATTAGGTCTTGTAAAGTGGAAGGCAAAAGGCATTTTGGTAATGATAAATCAAAGTATTCAGCTGAAATTTGCTAAAAAATATAATATTTTTATAAGATTTCTTTATAATAAGCTAGTTTTTTCAGGTCAGCTCTGTCTATAATAGGAAAGAGGTGTTATACTTTATTTCTTAAGTTTTTTATATGAAGCTGGTAAATTTTTATGATTGTCTATGATATTCATCTAATAATTTATTGAAGAAGAATATTAAATGCAATGTTCTAACTGTTAGTATAAGAACTTGTTGGCTTGTAATAGGTAACTCAAAAGAAATAGCTTGAGACAAATAGTCTGGAATGAGCTCTGGTCTGTTAGGCAAGAGAATTAGCATTTCATTCATTATTTCTAAGACAGTCTTTCTTGTTGTTTCAAAGTCTAGATTTTGTTGAATTTTTACAAAACCAATTAACTAAAAAATATATTTTGTGATTTCCCAAGTATCTAAAAGGTTAAAGTTCAAGTTGGTTAAGTAATTTAGTGTCAGTTTTATATGCGACAATTTGAAAATTTGGTTCCAGTTTTTTTTATTAATAGCTAATACATTATGCTGTTTTTTATATACATCCAATGTATTAGAAAATAAACTATTGAATTCATTCTAGTGTTGTGATCTAATTACTAAATCTTGAATGAAGCTTCTAAAGAAGGCTGTGTCTTTATGAAAGAATTTTGCTTTTATTGCTGTTGGGATATGAATAGTAGTTGGTTTTGTTAACAATTTGTATCTAATTAGTTCTTTCAAGTTTTGAAATAAGGTTAATATATTCTTGGTTTTTTGTTACATTTAAATTGTTGCATTAAATAATTCTAGTTTTTCTTGTCTAATTTTTTCTAAGATTGTCTGTATATGTTTTTTCCATTTTTTTTCTTTATCAGCTTTAAAATGAGGGTTTGGGGTTCTTCTAGTTCTCTCTGGAAGGTTTTTAACTAGTACTTGACTATACGATATTTTTTTTTGTGTCTGTTCTTTAAGTATTGTATCAGTTAATCAGGTTTCTTTATTGTTATCATTCTCTATGTTTGTTGATATATACTTTATTTCCATATTGAATTGTTGTTTTAGTGTGCTGATATCCAAGTTAGACTGAAGCATTTGGTTGGATAGAACTAAGTTGTTTGCTTCTTCTATCTGCATTGACAAAAGAGAAATAACATCTATATTATTTAGATTCTGGATCAGGTCTTGCTCAGTTTGGTTGTCTTTAGGAAGATTTAAGATTGTGATTGTTATTGTTCTATATAGTGATGTCATTGCTAGATTTTTTGAGAGTATGCTAGAATCTTCATTTTTTTAAATTTTTTTTTCATTAATATTTTTTCTATTGTTTGCTTATATAAGGATAACAATTTGTTATTAGTTTTGCACTTCTTCTTGTTGTTCTGTTTATCCATAGTTTCTTGAATAAATCATATTTGTGTATACTATTTGGAATATTTGTCTTGAGACTTATTGTTATCTTTGCTAATATTGATTCCAGTTGCCAACTTAGTTGGCAACAGTGGTGAGAAGAAGACTGGAATGCAAAAAGCTTTCTTGTAACTTTGTTTAATTCTGTTGAAGTTTATGCTATGCTGTTGTTAATGTTAATATTTAGTTAATTAGTTAAAATATGTTTTGGTTCAATTTTTCAAAAAAAAATTTTTGTTTTCCCAATTTTGTTATAAAATCGGGATTTGCGAGAAAGAGTTTTGGGTCAAGTTAGAATTAGAGTTAAGTTTAATGTAATTTATAAAGAAAACTTGTTGGTGAATCGTATTGTCAGTGAAATGAACTTGTTGATCAGTGAATCGTACTGTCGGTGAATTGAATCTTGCTGATTAGCATTTAGACGGTACTCATTACGATAGATCAATATGAAAAAGATTATTTGGATTATTAGAAATAACTATATAATCAGAACGAAGATACACAATAAAATTACACTTTATTATAAAAAAAAAATCAAATTCTGGCAGTTTCGGAAGTTATAATCTGAAACCCGAAACCCGAAACCTTCAGACTTGACAAAAAAGGTTTTGGTGCCCAACTCTAACATGCATAACCCGTGTGACAATTTTGCATCTGGTTCCAACCTCTACCTTTGCCCAGGAATGGATCATGATCTATATAATCAAATATATTCGTTTAGGTCGATCTGTTCGAAGTGTTAAATGCATCAGTAGGTAATGAACTTTGGAATGAATATAATTATATTTGAAATTGGTGAGTTGATAGATGTGACAACCTAGTAAAGTAGATAAGTTGTCAACCTCCAAGAGCAGTTGCTATGAATTCTGAAGAACTATTTGAATATTTATCTAGATTTATGTGTAGGCGCTTGATATTGTTAAAAGTCTACAATAAAAGAATGATTAAAACTACCAAATCAAATTTTATTCTAGCCTGAAAATTGGATACTGTCACAAGGTAAATTTAACGTATATGAACTAATATAGGGGAATGGGGAAGGCAACTCGCCAGAGGTATAACTATTGTGATTTTGGTCTTGTAATAAATTTATTATAGTGGTTCTTACGTGCTCCTCCACACATAAGGGTCATAACCAACCTCTCTCGATGCTATGCCTTTTAAATAACTTCTTGGAAGTATGATTTAAAGATGCTTTGGTCATCCCTTATTAATGCTTTGTCTTGAGGTTCACTAATAATTTCAACACATTGTCACACATATTTTTCATTGAAGGATATTTTTTAGCTTCGCGTTTGATTACTCGCCAATATTATCAATTCGGCCGACAAGCCTCATGTGTCATAACCGAAGATTCAAAATCTCGAAATTTGTGGCGTCTTAATTATTTACTCGCAGGATTTATGCCACAGTTTTATCTTTATTTTCGGAAATGCCTGTAAGAAAGTGAAACATCTTCCAAAAGCATAGATGAGTGAATCCTAACCCTAAAGATTTCATTACACTGATCTTTCGAATAAAAATCACGAGGAGGGTTTTTTGTGGGAGAGCTACCAACTAGATTTTGTGACAACGTTGCTGCAATAACAATGGTCAAAAGGGATATAAAAAACTTTCTAATTTATGAATGCACATTGCCGTTCTCGGTTACATAAGTTGCGGATCTCTCATAATTATTTAAGATAGATATGGATATTATGACGGCGAATACTTTAATCCGCTACAATACTCATACGTAGCTATCATAACGATAATGTTCATATCTACTTCATATATCAATATATAAATATATACGTACACATTATTACATTACCAAAAAGGGTATTGGTTCTAGACCGTTCTATTAAAATGGGTTGACTTTTGATTGGCACACAATCTTTTTTCGGTTGAATCTTTAACCTTTCACTGTACTTTTCTATGACTAACTGTTGTGCGAAGAATAGAAAATCTATAATTTCATAATCATTTAACAATCAACCCTTGTGCTGAAATGTAACTTGAAAACAGCATGATTTTATACAGTATTTGTACATTTATTTATTTGACGCATATTTCTACATATATTGTAAAAATTCAGTATTATGCGGATTTTATTGAAAAGAAAAGAAACTGAAAACATGAATGATAATGCGTAAAATAAATAATAATGTATAAATTAATCTTAAGAATAAATTCCTATCACCAGCTAGAGTTTTGAATTTTTGTTTATAGAAACATCGCCGGAAAATTGCGTTTGGAATCAGTTTATGTTAAAGTTACTGTTGCGGGGATGATCCGAATTGAATAGATCGTACTGGTACATTCGTACCTACAATTTTATTTGAGAAACATTAAAAAAAATATAGTGTTTCCAAATATTATAACCATAAATTATATTGATTGCAAATCGTGCCAAAATTACAAAACATGGAAGAAAATTGCGAATATATTCGAACATACTGAACAACCGTAAAGAAAAGAGATTTTATTTAACGCTAAAGAATAGCCATGATTTGAGGTCTCATGAACTCGGTTCTAATTCGAAATATATCGATATGCATTTTGTATGGTGAAATTCTATTAAAATCATCGCGAATAATATTTTGCAAATAATGTAAATAAAATAATTTTGTCTATAGATCCTTTACTACATATACCGTAGAGCAATACCCACCAAAAAATTTTACTCAAGACTCGGGTATATTGTGCTGTAGCGGCCTATGTCACAAGGAAAAAAATTTTCAAGTACATATATATTCCACATCTTTAAAAACCCATATTTAATTGAAAGATCTCGCGTTTTGCGCCAGAGTATTTTGCATGGGATACTCAAAAAAGGATCTTTTGGTAAGTGCTTTACGGTATTTATGCTATATATTCATGCAATATATAGGTTTTAGTTAAGTAATTAATTACTGTATTCTGTAAATTGGTAATATATACCACCTATTATCTTTGAATAAAATATTGGTACTTCGACCGATTATCTTTTAAAGAATTGGTTTTAAAAATTCCATAATAACGTGATACCATGGTTTCCATTATCAAATCGATCGGTCAACATACATTGCCATAAATTTTATGCTGTGATGAATATTTTTTTTTTACAATATAATTGAATATAATTGCCACACTAGACAGGATCAATCTTAAAATTATTTGTTATATGTATCTGAAATAAAAGTCGTTCTCACTTTAAAAAAAAAGCAATTATCTTATTTTAATGATATTTTACTGATGTTACCCATGTATGACATAGCTATCTTCAAAATACATGTGGAAATATATAATTTCTTTATAAAAACCACATCAAATATAATAATTATTGATATAATAATATGATGTACAATTCCGCTTATCTTAACAGATTTGTATATTAAATAAACATGAATTCTTGTTAGAATTTTCTATCGATTATTAACAACCAATTCAAGAAACTATCAGCAAAACAAAAGTGAATATTAGATCGATGATCTTAAAGGAACAATGAACGTAATAATTAAATCTTTGTTAAAATACCTGCTCATAATTGATCATAATCCAGCCGTCATTGTCTGTATCAAAACGTCTGAAAGAATCTGTAAGAGTCTTGACAGTCACGCAAGATTGCTAAGTAATTAATTGTTATGAAACGTTTAATTAGATTCTCAAAAAAGATCTTTCAAAGTCGAAGAATGAATTGTACATACCACAAAATTGTCAAAAGTTACATCTCCTTTTCCTAATTTATTTTTGGTACCCCCTTTATATCAGTTAATAAGCCACACAATGGTTTAATAAAGGCCAGGAACACATATGCATTCCCTTTTAAAACATAACATCAAACAGTCCTCTATTAGACTGAATTTTCGCTTACCGTATTTGTCATATTTTTTAATCAGTAGGCTAACGAAATTGTCACTTAAATTGTATCCAAATGTTTTCATCGCTGTTTTAAGTTCTTGGAAGTTCACAGTGCCTGATTTATCAACATCAAAGGTTTGGAAACATTTTTTCCAATCTTCAATATATCGCCAAAGTCCAGCAAATTCAGAAAAGTTAATAGTTCCAGTGTTATCTAGCCGAATTAATTCCATATCAATTATTATTAACTTTAATTGCTTTAATTCAATCTTTTTTTTTTTTTTAACACAAATATAGATCTTTCCAACATACCAGTATCAAACATATTCATCATTAATCGGACTGTTTCAATGTTAAATGGGCTCCAATCACCTATTAAACAAGAAAATTTCATAATGATTTGTATTTTATTATGCATCTTGGATACATTCATATATTTATATGCATACCATTAATCAAAGCCTTTTGTAATTCCGCCGCGGTCAAAGTTCCACTATTGTCAGTGTCGACAGCTTTGAACCAAAAATATAATTGAGGGTCGGCACCAGGTGGAGGTTGTAGATTAGCGCCGCCCGGAGGAGGAGGGTCTAAATAGAATATCATAAATATATACCCCGAAGTATTTAATGTAGTCAGTCATAAGACACAAAATACAAACTTTGCTGATAGGAACTATACTGCTGCTGTTGACCGTAAGACTGTTGGGGAGGTTGCCCATAACTTGGTGGTGGTCCTTGGCTTTGATTGTAATTATAAGCCATACTTATTAAATGGAAATTTCAATTCAAAAGTTAAAAATTGCGTATTTGTGTTTTAAAAAAAATCCTTTTCAAATAAATATTGTTGTGTCGGTACACTGACCTTATTTTTTTTATGCCAAATAAAGTAATGAATCATTTTTATCGTTACATTAATGTTACGTAAATTTGATGTTACCCCGTGATAATTATCAAGGTGGTTAAAATTGGTCATATGGGCGAAAATCTTCAATTTTGTGATTAGTTAAGTCGAATGATGAGATTAAATAGAATTTATACGTGATTACTAAGATTAAAAGTGATTGTAAAATTGCTTGTTTAGTTTTTATTAGTGTTCTAACCAGATTTCAACTGACCTATTATCTTGTTATGTTAAGCATGATAGAAGTTTCTTTTAATTGTGTGATCTACTTCTATACAGGAACTTGAATACATATATTTATTTAGATAATTCAGGTAATATTCAAATTTCTTATTGAAAGTATCTTAATACGTATTCTATATTTAGTATATAATAATTAGGTACGTAAATACTCTTGGCTTCTATTTTTAGCTAATGGTACCTACTCTGCAAATTAATAACCTAACGGTGCAAGAATATCCAGAAAGAAACGGTGAACTGGTGCAAACTGTGTAAAATTTAATCTAAACGTAAACTGGTCCGCACGAGCTTACGTCAAGTCATAGGCCTGATTGGCTAATAAATTCAATTTAATTTTACATTATTTATATACTTTTTAACAAAACGAAAGCCAACTATAATAAAGTAAAAAAAAAACTATATAGAAGGTTTTATTAGAGCTATAGGATTCCATAGTCAAAAATAAGATCTAATTCTCGCCCGTTTAAAAAAATTAGCTTAGTAATAAGCTGATTTTATCGGGGTTTGAGAAGTTATTACTATACTAACTCTTTTAAACGGACGAGAATTAGATCTTATTTTTGGCTATGTAGTCCTACAGCTTTAATGAAACCTTCTATATAACTTTTTTTTATTTAATTATTATTAGTTTTCATTTTTTTAAAAAAAATACTCAACTGTATAAATTAAATTGAATTTATTAGCCAATCAAACAAACTTCTGCCTATGATATTGAGAGCATGTTAGTCGCTCCTCAATCGGATACGTCGTGTCACCTACGAATCGGCTTAGTCGAAAGAGGCGGTTATATTTAGTGAGTGGATTAAGTTCATAGGTATGTCTTCTTTCTCCCTACTTGTCTTGAATCCTTCGATACGGTTTACTAACAAACTAACTCTTGTACTCACGATTCCTTTAATCACAACCACGGCTGGGACCTTCCTCTTGGACCTCAAACCGGAATATAACAACCACAATTATCCTCGGTACGTTGGGAGAATTGGAAAACAACCACGGTAGTCCTCAGTACGTCGAGAATCAACCGGACAGGGTAACGGTACACTCTACGATAGCACGTGAGCAAGACTACAAGAACGACAATCGTACCACTTATGCCACTTAAGCAGTATATCGGAATGTAAGTATGTATTTATAACGTAGGGATTTATTTGAATCACGAACTATATATCTTTTCTTCGTAGGGCTCGAAGTCTTTATTATATACTTTCTTTTACATAGGGCACATTATACACTCAATTCATGGTATATCGCTTATATTACTTATAACGTATATACTAATTAAAATATCTACTGATTCCCCTTATTACACTGATATCCATTATAGACCTGATACAGAGTATACAGCGAATACAGCGTATACTGCCGGTAAACCCATTGTTTGGTCGGAGATCGACATACCCGTTCTATGCCACTTTGATTGCCTTCTTTCGGGATTATAGTCCTGCGGCTCACAATATGTCAAGCTGAAAATCACTTCCAATCCTATCTGGATCTAATAAAATTATAGGATCTCATGTAACAATACATATATGAAAAAATAGATCAGAGTACTAGTTTTTTAATAACTGAGATGAACCTAGAAATAATGAAAGCATATTAGAAATAAAGGTATATACTTAAATTTACAGTTTGTTTTTGATAATAAACTAATCTTTTTTGTTTGATCTTTTAGTTGTTTTAAATTATTTTGAAAATCATGATAAAGAGAAATAGACATTATGAGATCCAAATGGATTATGGTTATTTAGAGGATTTATTACAAATTAGAAAAAAAATTAATTGCATTCATTGCATTTTTGTATATAATTGATTAGTTGTATTTAATGAATATAATGGATATCAATAATTGGTTAGAAAGGTATTTTGGAAGATATCAGTATAATATGATGCATTAGTTGTATTAATTATATAATGTAAATAAGTTTAGTAATTATAAATAAAAATTAAATTTTTTTTAAAAAGAATAACTTTTTTTTTACAAATAATATATAATACAGATATTTTATAATTGCTAATAATAATTATTTGTTAAATAATAAAATAAATATTTTTATTAAAAATAATTACTATTTTTATTATATAATTTGATTTTAAATTTATTATTATTATTATTATTATTATTTTGTATTAAGATGATCTCTTTAATCTTTTGACTTTTATTAATAACCTTTTTGATAATATAATTCTATAAATTACTATAAAATGAGGATGTGGTGACCTAGTGAAGTGGTCAAGTTGTCAACCCTTCAAGTGGTAAGTTAAATGTTCAAATCCCATCGACGACAAAAATTTGGATAATCATCTATGTAATATTTGTATTATGGCAACTGTTATTAATAATTAGATTAGGATATTTGTAATGGCAATTACACCAGCATAACTGGCAGGTCATGGGGCATTTGTGTAACAGGTCACATGACATTGTCTTTTGGGACAAGGTTGTGGTTACATGAAGGAATGCAAACTGGCAATTAGATAGTGAAAATACTAGATAAGTCCTTATGGCTATGTAAATTTGTTGAAATTGGATAACAAGAAGTCCATTTGGGAAGACCTGAGTAGAGAGGTAGCCAGATCTTTAATGGCCCTACTGTAAAGGCTAGCCTTATGAAATGGATACCAAAGTTGAAGTAGTCAGACAGGCAAAAACTTCTAGGTGGAGGGTACTACCAACCAAGCTGCCAGATTGAGTCAAAGGAAAAGAATATCGGGCCAACCTGATATACCAATGGAATAGTCGTAAGTTCTATCAGACTATCTGGATTGGGAGTTTGATGAATTGGCAAGGGTATACTAAAGTATTTCAGATATGCTATAAAGTAGATGCTAGAGTTTGTATGAACTTTACAAGGACATAATAGTTTAATGGTTAGTTCTGACCACAAGTGTTAGTTCTGCCATAGCGATACCTAGATTAGCTATAAAAATGGGTACAGAAGACTTTGGGGGGTTTATTTTGAGGATAAATTAGTCCTAAGGTTGAGACGATGATCTGGGCATTTGGGATAACTCAGTAATATTAACACAGTTTACAAGTTCAGAGAGTTTAAAGTAGAACACCCAAACAGTAGTGTTAGGTACAGCAATTGGTGAGGAACCTTTGGGCAGACTCCTTAAATAGGTAATATAGAAAAGTTATACATGTACCTAATTGTATGCTTTTCTGTAGTAGTTCATTGAACTACAATACCGATAAGTGATTAATAAAAGTCAAAAGACCAAAGAGGTTATCTTAATAAAAAAATAAATAAAAATAAAAAATAAATAAATTACTATAAAAAGAATGTACAATTAGTTATATATATAACTTTTCTATATTACTTATTTAAGAAGTTTATTTAAAGATTTTCTACTAATTGCTATATCTAATATTTTTGCTTAAGTATTTTATTTTAAACTCTTAAACTTGCAACTTTATTAATATTATTAGGTTATATTCAAATTATTGTCTTAACTTTAAAACTATTTTATTTTTAAAATAAATTTTTTAAAGCCTTTTATATCTATTTTTACAGCTAACCTAGTATTGCTATAACAAAATTAATACTTGCAGTTAGAATTAATCTTTAACTGTTATGTTCTTATAGAGTTTACTTAATTCTTAGCATTTATTTTACAACATATTTCTAATATTTTAGTATCTTTTTCAGATTTTTAATTTAGATAATTTATATAGAATTATGACTAGTTTATTGATATATCAAGTCAGTTTAATATCTTTTTCTCTAATTTATTTTAAGCAGCTTAGTTGGTAGTACTTCTATTTAGATATTCTTTTCTATTTAGATACTTTGGCATTAATATTTATTTTCAATAATCTAGCCTTTATAATAGTATTATTAAAGATTTATATTAATTTTTTGCTTAGATTTTCTTAAATAAATTTTTTGTTTCTTAATTTTAACAAATTTATACAACTACTAAGACTTATTTAGAGTTTGCATTACTCAATATTGGTTTGTATTTTTTTGTTTAATCAGTTATACAGATATTTTATAATCTGCCAATAATAATAATATAACTATTATTACAGGATCTATTTACTTTACTGACACTCAATTCACTAACATCTTATTTCATCATTATTCAATTTTTTACTAACAAGTTTATTTTACAGACAATCATTTTATCAACATTTAATTTACTGACAAGTTTAATTTGCTGACAAGTTTAATTTGCTGACAAGTTTATTTTATTGACAATCAATTCACAAACAATTATTATACTGACAAGCTTATTTCACTAACAACACATTCACTAACAAACATTTTACTGACAATACATTTTATAAACAAGTATAATTGATTTATATATATATCAATACTTAATATATTTTGTGAAGTAAATATTTAGAGTATTATAAAATATTTAATTATAACTAGCTCAGATTATGCAAAAAAAAATTTTAGTAAAAAATAAAATTACTTTTATTGAAAAACAAAGTAACACTTTAGTAAAGCCAGCTAGGATTATGTAAAAAAAAAATATATATATAAAATCAGTAAAAAATAGAATTACTTTTATAAAAATAAAAGTAATATAAAATCTAAACTGACTCATACTTTAGTGAAGCTTAACTCAGATTATATAAGAAAAAAAAATTAGAACTGGCAAAAAATAG